ATGCCTCATCCTCGTGGCGTCATCTGAATTTCTTGGATGACCCATCTTCAGACCCGATCTCCTGGTCATCTTGTCACGTTCTTGTTCTCGGTTGTCCTCGTGTTGCTCCTTGTTGTCGGCCTCTTCCTCTTGGTCCTTGGTGCATCTATCCGTCATCGACGTCCACACGTCCTCGAAGGTTTCACCTAGGTCCTCCTTGACTTCGGTTCGTCCAGTCGTCCTCGTAGTCCTCATCCAGGTGGTACTCGGCGGCGTCTTCGTCCAGGTCCTTCTCGACTGCGGCTCGTAGCGACGTCCTCATAGCCTGCGTCTAGGTCTACGGGCGTCCGGACAGGGGCGTCCTTTCGTCTGAGGGCGGCTTATTCCTGCGCTGGGGAGCTCCTGGAGTTTAACCAATCTATGAACGTCCAGACAGGCGGTTTTCCATTGCATCTTGGGGCTTGCTCTGACGAGTTCCTGGTTCTTCACTGGATCTACAGGGGTCCTGGCAGGCGGCGCAAATCCACTTCATTCTGGGCGGCTTAATGCCTGCAGTTGCGAGTCCTGGTCCTTTGGCCTGCAGCGATCTTCTGGCGATGTTCGTCTCACGACATTGCAAGGCGATCATGCTGCAGTTAGATCTCCTTTGATGCCGTGTCAGATATCCACGTCCATTTATACATCACGAACCGGATCATACACGTAAGGGCCAAGATAGTAAGGGAAAAGAAAGACAACAGAGAGGGGGGTGTTATTTAAGTGCTACTTAGCCAATATTTTATGCTAATTTGCAGCTTTTAATGTGTTATTTCATTTTTTTTGTTCTTTTTTTCACTTTTGTATTTTTCAAGAAGAAAATAAGTGAGGGAGATGAACTACTAACCATCTCAGATATTAGAATAGATAAGGGAAATGACAATGGCATCCGCAAGGATAACTTGAACCGATTGTCATTTTATAGAGAAGAAAAATACGTAGTGTGCATCATTTTCACTAATCACGATTTGCAACACCACAAGGCAAAAGAATAGCCTGTAACTACGACACAACAAATCCTATAGATGAAGATTTGATTTTACAGTGTCTGTTGTCTGTGTGCATGAGTGTGTGTGTATATAAATATGAGTGTGAATAGCGTGAAGAGAAAGCGAGCTCACACGAAAAATGGATCACAAACACGAATTTTAATGTTCATTTTAACAAATGTTGTATTTATTAATATGTTAATACAACGTTATTTCAACTACTCCTGAATTCAATATTAAATGATATGCGATGGAACATACGCAATTATGAATGACAACATGAAAAAATATTCTTTTGCTAACTTTCGCAATGCAAGCATCCCAGTTCAGTAGTTTTTTTGTTTTTTTTTTAACGTTACCCCCGATTAATTAATCGCAATTACGGATACGCTACAAAATCTGACAGACTGAGATATTATATCTCGCTTACGCATTTTAGAGTACACTAGGCTTCATTGTCTGTGGGTTCCCCTTTTACCCAAATTACCTGAACGAAATGAAGTGAACTGAACGAGTCGAAATTCTATCGTTAGTCTTACTCTCCAATCTGTGATTAAGCACACGTGCCTATCAGCTACAAATCACACAATCGTCGGGATTTCCCGTGCATGCCAGCGGTAAAGAAGGTGAAAAAAAGGGGATTACTAAGCGATTCATCATTCTAGCTTAAACCCTCATCCTTTTTCTCATCAGACGTTAATACAGGCACACACCGACTCAATATGCTGAACGAATGAGTTACACTTCGGTTTTTTACCTACTCTCAAACGTCGGGGGCGTAGATCTATTATTGTTACAAAACCCCATGCACTCTTGCACGATGAAAGGGGAAGATCTTCACGCTAATTCATATAATGAATTTACAAATATTTGTGGTCAAAACTATAATTTTTTGTGCCGAAAGAATATCACCAAATAGCAATGACGTGAAAGTGAGGTCGAGGGGGGGGGTTAACCGCTATAGTAACTGCTTACTACAGAGAAATAAATGATATGTTCGTGAGTGCGAATAACGAAATCAGTAAGTGAATAAAATGAACCAAAGAGTCCAAAACGAATGAAATCCTACAATCAGTTAACGAAATTCGTACAAAAAGAGAAAGGAATACACAGAATTCGTAAGTGATTGCGGATCACAAAAAGAAAATCAGCTTGAGAGAAACTCACGAACTTGAATTGAATTTTGTTGCCATTTAAAGAACAATTTTTCATGTTTGTGACCATAGATCTCACATTGTCCTGAGTAAGTGACCTCAGGTCAAGATAATCAACAGAATGTGAATGCTGCCATTATGCCATTATTTTCACTGTTAGCACTTTCAACCAGCAAAACCAATGTAATAACGGTTTGCTTAAAGGGTTTATGTGAAGTAACAACTGAAAATTTTCCGAAGTCGTTATATTTTCCCGTGTAAATCCCGGAACCCGGATGTGTGACGTCAATTCCAGAACATGATCACAGCATTCTCTGCATTCAATACATTGTACAACATGGCGGACTCACTGCAAGACTACAGCGGCAGTGAAATCAGTGAAGTTTCATCGGATTATTCCGTCGAGGACATTGGTACAAGTTCTTCAGAGGGTGCCTACGTCTTCGAAGAGTTGGAAGAAGAAGAGGAATATCAAGAGTTGATGGTTGTTGGACCGTACATGCACGAGCCCGATGCTGTGGATGGCGTGGGAGTTGTGCCAAACCTGCCAGACATGGAGTGGCGTCAAGACCCGAAGAGATTGAATTGAATGGTGATTTTCTATTTTTTTTTATATAGTCGAACGTGTGATCCCGCTCCTGTATGGTAGAAAATTTCTGCAGGCTGAGGTATCTCTTGGTTGCAACCGTGGCGCAGGCCTACATCCATTCACGAGTGGAGGGGCATCGGTATTTATTTGTGTTGTGCTTTTTGGGGTGTACCTACCCTACCTCTGTGTAGTAATACATGCACTGTTGTGATCATGACAAAAATATATTGGTAATGGCCTACCGTTTTGCAAATCCTATGTCATGAGCCATTCTGTTCACAAAGCAATCGGGCTTGAAGTGTTTCAGGCAAAGTAGGCTGGCTGGCACAGACTGAAAGTTGCTCCACTTGGCATGCACAAACGTGTCCACTTCTTTGCTCTGTCGCGGTCTTTTGGCCATTCAAATAGCTGGTGACATGAATGGGAGCAATGAATTGTTACACAACGCCGCGGCATCCTTTGTTACAAACTTTAATAGCTTGAAACTGGCACAAGTCCGTGATATCCTTGACTTGCGGTGCGTATCACGCCATTCAACAAGATTCTCCCTGGTCCTGGGAATGACGTCACAACCGGGGTTGCCGAAGACCGCCGAGTTTTGCATCTTCGTTTCTAAAGGCGTTGCTATAGGATTTTTAGGGATACCAGAGGGTCTCCGATTTTTTTTTTTTTTTTTTTTTTTTTTTGCATGAATAGGCTAAGCATACATTATTGAACAATATTCAAAGAAAAAACTATGCATGATAATTACTTCACATATGCCCTTTAACACATTTATGGGAGAAGAAAGGAAAGAGAAAAGATTGGCCCATAACGTGTACTTACATGGTTTTGTATAGTTGTTCTTCATATCGCGATGGCTTTTGGTCAAGCGGGATCGGAGACGATTAGTTCGTGCTTCAAGCCGAAAGGTTGAAGCTCACACAACCGTCCACCAGCTGTAAAAGGTACTAAAGGCCTTCTATGTGTGTAGTCTGAATGACTGGTGACGGCTAGTGAAACACTGATTTGGCTTCACACTTTTATTAATAACACACGATATGAGAAGACTTTGATATGCCGGCGGTCAGTACAAGTGTCAGCCTGGCCGACCCGCCGGAGAGGCAAGGCCGGCCGGTCACGGGCAAGCTCACCGAAGATCTGAGGGGGTGTGAGAGGGTAAGGTCAAGGTTGGCCACCCTTATATCCTGACCAGCGGCGCAAGCGGGCCACGCGTCCCTCGGGCCACGCAGCATGGACGGACCTCGTGGCATACTAAGCTTAGTGAACCAGGCGGTATAGATACGGACCACGTGGGGACCATGTAGTATGCTATGCAGTATGCTATGGAGAGACAGAAAAAGAGAGAGAGAGAGAGAGAGATCAAACACCACACATGCCGCTCTCTCTCTCCTAATCAACTTTCTCATCCATCACTCAGCTCGGACTCTCTTATCGCATTGCAATATTGTGTCCTTAATTAAAAACACGGACATGCATATATGTATATATGTATATATATATATATATATATATATATATATATATATATATATATATATATATATGTATGTATGTATGTATACACACATACAAATATATATATATATATATATATATATATATATATATATATATATATATATATATATATATATATATATATATATATATATATATATTTATATATATATATTTATATATATACATTTATATTATATATTTTTTTTTTTTTTGCGTGTGCATGTATGTGTGTTTATATGTGTGTGTGCATGTGTGTGCATATATGTATGTATGTATGTATATATTTATGTATTATATATTATATGTACACACACACACACACACACACACACACACACACACACACACACACACACATATATATATATATATATATATATATATATATATATATATATATATATGTATATAACATGTATATCTACACATATATAACATTGTGTGTGTATATATATAATATATATATATATATATATATATATATATATATATATATATGTGTGTGTGTGTGTGTGTGTGTGTGTGTGTGTGTGTGTGTGTGTGTGTGTGTGTACACAATGGAACACTTAAGCCCTACTCTTCCTCAAAAGCATTGCACTTTTCTAAAAATAAACAAATAAAAATAAATAAAAGATTGAATGAAATACAAAATGCAGTTCGTTATCTCTCCTCGCGGCACCCTGCCTTGACCTAGATCCAAGGGATTCCCAAGATAAGATCAAGGATTGAAAAGGCAAAGGATTGGCGCCACGGGAACAGTCAGTGCCTGAGACGTTGTCCTTTGAAGTGTCGCCATGGCCCGTCGCTCCCTTGCCCTTCTGGTGAGGCCCTTTTGTTTTTTCTGTAAGAACGGAGACCTTCTTGAAGTTAGTTTAGATGCGCCGTGTGTAGACTGTGTGCTCTCGCTTAAAGTCTCTTCATTAAAACTTTAGATGATATATTTGTCTTTGTAATTGTTGGTGTTCACTTTGAGACAATTCTCATTATTTTGGATTATACTGACCCTCTCCCCTCCAGCTCTTCGTTCATGTTGTTATAAGTTAGGCATGTCGAAGCATATAGTCACCGTAGTGAGTAACCCTTTAACGACCCTCTCTCAGCTCGGCAGTTGTGTCCTTGTCCTGGGCTATTCCCTGAAAGGACCAAGATGCAAGGATCTCTCTCCAGGAAGTCAGATCCACCCTGACGACACCGAATGCACGCCCGACAGCGCAGGGCCCCCCTCCCTACCAGAAGGAAGGGCCCTCACCCCCTGCCATTTCACCTGCAGCGCCCCGCTGGAAATTATCAACGACCAGAGCAGCTGCAGCGCCTTTCACGTGTGTCTCCCTGATGGCCCAAAGGGACCCTTCACTTGCCCTGGAAACACCTACTTCCACTGGGAGAGTCAAACGTGCGTTGAAGACATTGGCGTCTGCTGCTCGGTCTCCTGCACGCCCATCTGTACGTCCGTGGGCGTGCAGATTCCCGACCCCACTGACTGCACCAAATTCTACGTCTGCATCGAAATCGGACAGCCCAGCGAGGCCGTCCACCTCACGTGCCCGAGCGGGAAGTTCTTCGACGCTGAAGCCCAGCGATGCCTCGCCGATGCCGAATGCGAAGTCGTCTGTGCGACCGACGTGACCACCACCAGCCCGGCGCCGTGCACTCCCTTCTGCTCGACTGTGGGCGTGCAGATTGCCGATCCTAACGACTGCACCAAATTTTACGTCTGTATTGAACAGGGATTTCCTGACGAAAGCGTCCACGTGTCTTGTCGGCCGACAGAGCATTTCGATCCCGAAACGGGGCGGTGTGTGGAGGGCGACGAGTGCGTGTCCCAGTGCGGAGATTCGAGCACGCTTTCGACGGGCGCGCTGACCACGCCCACGCAAGCACACTCATCCACACACATTACCGGACCAACTGGAGAGATCACTGACACGACCTCGGTTTCGGAATCAACTGGAACAGCCACTACACCTTCAGGGGGAACTACAGCCACAGGAACACCACCTTCAGAAACCACTCCGACACCCTCAGAAACTACAAGAAAAACTACGAACACCCTCAGAATCAACTACACCTTCAGAAGCAACTACGACACCCTCAGAATCACTACACCTTCAGAAGCAACTTCAGAATCAACTACAGAAGCAACTACGACACCCTCAGACAACCACCTTCAGAAGCAACTACGACACCCTCAGAATCAACTACACCTTCAGAAGCAACTACGACACCCTCAGAATCAACTACACCTTCAGAAGCAACTACAGAGCAACTACGACACCCTCAGAATCAACTACACCTTCAGAAGCAACTACGACACCCTCTCAGAAGCAACTACGACACCCTCAGAATCACTACACCTTCAGAAGCAACTACGACTCAGAGAGAAGCAACTACTCAGAATCAACTACACCTTCAGAAGCAACTACGACACCCTCAGAATCAACTACACCTTCAGAAGCAACTACGACACCCTCTGATACAACTACACCTTCAGAAGCAACTACGACACCCTCAGAATCAACTACACCTTCAGAAGCAACTACGACACCCTCAGAATCAACTACACCTTCAGAAGCAACTACGACACCCTCAGAATCAACTACAACCTTCAGAAGCAACTACGACACCCTCAGAATCAACTACACCTTCAGAAGCAACTACGACACCCTCAGAATCAACTACACCTTCAGAAGCAACTACGACACCCTCAGAAGCAACTACGACACCCTCAGAATCAACTACACCTTCAGAAGCAACTACGACACCCTCAGAATCAACTACACCTTCAGAAGCAACTACGACACCCTCAGAATCAACTACACTTCAGAACAACTACTCAGAATCAACTACACCTTCAGAAGCAACTACGACACCCTCAGAATCAACTACACCTTCAGAAGCAACTACGACACCCTCAGAATCAACTACACCTTCAGAAACTACGACAGAAGCAACTACGACACCCTCAGAATCAACTACACCTTCAGAAGCAACTACGACACCCTCAGAATCAACTACACCTTCAGAAGCAACTACGACACCCTCAGAGATACGGACTACACCTTCAGAAGCAATACGACACCCTCAGAATCAACTACACCTTCAGAAGCAACTACGACACCCTCAGAATCAACTACACTTCAGAAGCAACTACGACACCCTCACAACTACACCTTCAGAAGCAACTACGACACCCTCAGAATCAACTACACCTTCAGAAGCAACTACGACACCCTCAGAATCAACTACACCTTCAGAAGCAACTACGACACCCTCAGAATACTACACCTTCAGAAGCAACTACGACACCCTCAGAATCAACTACACCTTCAGAAGCAAGACAGCAGAAGCAACTACGACACCCTCAGAATCAACTACACCTTCAGAAGCAACTACGACACCCAGAATCAACTACACCTTCAGAAGCAACTACGACACCCTCAGAATCAACTACACCTTCAGAAGCAACTACGACACCTCAGAACAACTACTTCAGAATACGACACCCTCAGAATCAAACTACACCTTCAGAAGCAACTACGACACCCTCAGAATCAACTACACCTTCAGAAGCAACTACGACACCCTCAACTACACCTTCAGAAGCAACTACGACACCCTCAGAATCAACTACACCTCAGAAGCAACTACGACACCCTCAGAATCAACTACACCTTCAGAAGCAACTACGACACCTCAGAAGCAACTACGACACCCTCAGAATCAACTACACCTTCAGAAGCAACTACGACACCCTCAGAATCAACTACACCTTCAGAAGCAACTACGACACCCTCAGAATCAACTACACCTTCAGAAGACACCTCAGAAGCAACTACGACACCCTCAGAATCAACTACACCTTCAGAAGAGAAGCAACTACGACACCCTCAGAATCAACTACACCTTCAGAAGCAACTACGACACCCTCAGAATCAACTACACCTTCAGAAGCAACTACGACACCCTCAGAATACAATACACCCTTCAACTACACCTTCAGAAGCAACTACGACACCCTCAGAATCAACTACACCTTCAGAAGCAACTACGACACCCTCAGAGAAGCAACTACACCCCTCAGAACAACTACACCTTCAGAAGCAACTACGACACCCTCAGAATCAACTACACCTTCAGAAGCAACTACGACACCCTCAGAATCAACTACACCTTCAGAAGCAACTACGACACCCTCAGAATCAACTACACCTTCAGAAGCAACTACGACACCCTCAGAATCAACTACACCTTCAGAAGCAACTACGACACCCTCAGAATCAACTACACCTTCAGAAGCAACTACGACCCTCAGAATCAACTACACTTCAGAAGCAACTACGACACCCTCAGAATCAACTACACCTTCAGAAGCAACTACGACACCCTCAGAATCAACTACACCTTCAGAAGCAACTACGACACCCAACTACACCAGAAGCAACAACAACTACACCTTCAGAAGCAACTACGACACCCTCAGAATCAACTACACCTTCAGAAGCGACACCCTCAGAATCACTACACCTTCAGAAGCAACTACGACACCCTCAGAATCAACTACACCTTCAGAAGCAACTACGACACCCTCAGACAACTACACCTTCAGAAGCAACTACGACACCCTCTGATACAACTACACCTTCAGAAGCAAAGAAGCAACTACGACACCCTCAGAATCAACTACACCTTCAGAAGCAAGACAAGAAGCAACTACGACACTCCTACCTTCAGAAGCAACTCAACAACTACACCTTCAGAAGCAACTCACCCTCTGATACAACTACACCTTCAGAAGCAACTACGACACCCTCAGAAGCAACTAGAAGCAACTACGACACCCTCAGAATCAACTACACTTCAGAAGCAACTACGACACCTCAGAATCAACTACACCTTCAGAAGCAACTCGACACCTCAGAATCAACTACACCTCAGAAGCAACTACGAGAATCAACTACACCTCAGAAGCAACTACGACACCCTCAGAATCAACTACACCTTCAGAAGCAACTACGACACCCTCAGAATCAACTACACCTTCAGAAGCAACTACGACACCCTCAGAATCAAGAAGCACTCAGAATCCAAGAAGCAACTACAACTACACCTTCAGCAACACCCTCAGAATCAACTACACCTTCAGAAGCAACTACGACACCCCAGAATCAACTACACCTTCAGAAGCAACTACGACACCCTCAACTACACCTTCAGAAGCAACTACGACACCTCAGAATCAACTTCAGAAGCAACTACGACACCCTCAGAATCAACTACACCAGAAGCAACTACGACACCCTCAGAACAACTACACCTTCAGAAGCAACTACGACACCCTCAGACAACTACACCTTCAGAAGCAACTACGACACCTCAGAATCAACTACACCTTCAGAAGCAACTACGGAATCAAACACCTTCAGAAGCAACTACGACACCCTCAGATCAACTACACCTTCAGAAGCAACTACGACACCCTCAGAATCAACTACACCTTCAGAAGCAACTACGACACATAAGAATCAACTACACCTTCAGAAGAACTACGACACCCAGAATCAAACTACACCTTCAGAAGCAACTACGACACCTCAGAATCAACTACACCTCAGAAGCAACTACGACACCCTCAGAACACTACACTTCAGAAGCAACTACGACACCCTCTGACAACTACACCTTCAGAAGCAACTACGAACCCTCAGAACAACTACACCTTCAGAAGCAACTACGACACCCTCAGACAACTACACCTTCAGAAGCAACTACGACACCCTCTCAACTACACCTTCAGAAGCAACTACGACACCCTCAGAATCAACTACACACAACTACAGACACTTCAGCAACTGACGACACACTTCAGAAGCAACTACCCTCAGAATCAACTACACCTTCAGAAGCAAACTACGACACCTCAGAATCAACTACACCTTCAGAAGCAACTACGACACCCTCAGAATCAACTACACCTTCAGAAGCAACTACGACACCCTCAGAATCAACTACACCTCAGAAGCAACTACGACACCCTCTGATACAACTACACCTTCAGAAGCAACTACGACATCCAACTCAGAGCAACTACGACACCCTCAGAATCAACTACACCTTCAGAAGCAACTACGACACCCTCAGAATCAACTACACTTCAGAAGCAACTACGACACCCTCAGAATCAACTTCAGAACAACCTTTACGACTTCAGAAGCAACTACGACACCCTCAGAATCAACTTTCAGAAGAACTACGACACCTCAGAATCAACTACACCTTCAAAGCAACTACGACACCCTCTGATACAACTACACCTTCAGAAGCAACTACGACACCCTCATGCAACTACTTCAACTACACCTTCAGAAGCAACTACGACACCTCAGAATCAACTACACCTTCAGAAGCAACTACGACACCCTCAGAATCAACTACACTTCAGAATAACAAACAACTACACCTCAGAAGCAACTACGACACCTCCAACTACTTCAGAAGCAACTACGACACCCTCTGAACAACTACACCTTCAGAAGCAACTACGACACCTCAGACAACTACACCTTCAGAAGGCGAAGCAACTACGACACCCTCAGAATCAACTACACCTTCAGAAGCAACTACGACACCCTCAGAATCAACTACACCTTCAGAAGCAACTACGACACCCTCAGAATCAACTACACCTTCAGAAGCAACTACGACACCCTCTGATACAACTACTTCAGAAGCAACTATGACACCCTCAGAATCAACTACCCTTCAGAAGCAACTAAACACCCTCAGAATCAACTACACCTCAGAAGCAACTACGACACCTCAGAATCACTACACCTTCAGAAGCAACTACGACACCTCAGAATAACTACAACCTTCAGAAGCAACTACGACACCCTCAGAATCAACTACACCTTCAGAAGCAACTACGACACCCTCTGATACAACTACACCTTCAGAAGCAACTACGACACCCTCAGATCAACTACACCTTCAGAAGCAACTACGACACCCTCAGAATCAACTACACCTTCAGAAGCAACTACGACACCCTCTGATACAACTACACCTTCAGAAGCAACTACGACACCCTCAGAATCAACTACACCTTCAGAAGCAACTACGACACCCTCAGAAGACCTTCAGAAGCAACTTTACACTTCAGAAGCAAATACGACACCCTCAGAATCAACTACACAACTACACCTCAGAAGCAACTACGACACCTCACTAACCTTCAGAAGCAACTACGACACCCTCAGAAGCAACTACGAACCCTCACAACTACACATTCAGAAGCAACTACGACACCCTCAGAATCAACTACACCTTCAGAAGCAACTACGACACCCTCAGAATCAACTACACCTTCAGAAGCAATTACGACAACACCAGATACGACTACAACCGTAGGGATCACCGTATGAAATGACACAGACGCCTAACATGTTACAGTGAATTCACAAATAACTTTTATAACTGCATGATAAATAATACACAATAACCCTCTGTGAAAATACTATAAATATGAAGTGTAATTGATATCATATATTTACATTTTTCTATCGTGTTAGAAGTCTGATTTTTTATTGTGGTCTTCCATTGTGATCCACTGCAATTCCTGTTATAATTTATTAGAACTAATTAAACTGATAAGCGAATATATAAGGAAATGTATAGAAATGGTCACGAATATTACTCTTTTCTAAAAAGAAAAAAAGGAGAAATGATGTTTCCTTTATATTCAAGACTTTTTAATAACCTCAGGTATTATTTCTCCCGCGCAATACTCCTGTAAAACCAGATTATTAAATTTATTATGATTGTTTGTTGGGTTTCATATTACCTAATGTATTATAAACCTGCCGTCATTTTACGTAACTTGTCAATAGCTTAAAGCGTTAAGTGTAACTGATTACTTTTTATACTCATTTATTGCTTTGAACTTTGCTTTGCATGTACTCCTTGGCAGAGGTATACAAAAATAGTTCACCCTATCATGATTATCAAAGAAAAACAAAATATATCTTATGTCGTTCATAGAAAATGCAATATTTTTAAGGGGGACTTATCTATATCCTTTCCTTAGAAATCTGTGTAACAATTAACTGGTGATAATCTCATCGCCGCGGTCTCCGATTCTGTTGACTCTCAGGGAATGACCAATGCACCTCCACCGCGCGTATAGAGAAAGACCGAGAAAGCTGGCTTTCCACTCTCATAAGGAACACTCATGGTACTTTGATGTAACTCTCT